ATTCTCCCTTTCCCTACTCTTTTTTATTTTCATATATTCACAAGACGTTGCATAGAACGTTTAAACATGCTTTGCCCAGCTTCCTGTAATATAAACCTTTTAGTGACTTCCTTTGCCCTATGAATAAGCTCCACAATTCTGCATTTGACCTCCAGAGCCCTTGATCTTCCCTCAGCTTGCTCTGCCATTGTCCCTAAGGGCCCATTGTCTGCACCACAGTGACTACTTGCAATTTTTCAGCTGAGCCAGAATTTAAGCTGCTTGTAGCTTTTGCCCCCAAACTTCTCCCTGCATAAAATCCTTTGTTCCTTACTCCCATTTTTCTGAGCCACTAACTCTCCTTTATCCTTCAGTCCTCAGCCTTATTCTTCCTTACCTGCTGAGTCCTTCTTGACCCTTCATTATTCAGTTCCATAACATCCTTTTCTCTTTAGGCATAGCCTTGTGATCTAAACTGTTTACATGTGGAACTTCTCAAGACTTCCCCACTCTGGACACTAATAGACACAATATGGTAACTTTGTTACTTTGCCTGTCACTAAAGCCAAACCCAGTGCCTGCACATAGTAAGTCACTCAGAGTAAATAATATATATGCCCAGGCATTAGTTCTGTTTCTGTCAAGGAAAAAAAAAAGGAACTTTGTGGGCTGCCTCTGAGTTTCAGCCTCTCCCCTTTGTTTTACTCTCCACTCAAATATCCATGAACTTGTTCTGTGCTCAACCCAATTACAATAAGGTCATTTAATTTCCTCCTTCAATAACAGATTGTGACTTGTAATTCATTTAGCAGACATTGGAACCTGAATATATACTGATTAGGTTCCCAAGCACCAAGCTTGTTATAATAAAGCCATAGAAAAGATGTCTCTTGAGGAGAGGCTGGGAAGTGACTGTTTCTGGCAGAAAATGTGTTTTGTCTCTTAAACTTAAGCTTTGGAGTCATTCATGAATGAGTAATGAATTCAGGAAGATCAATGAAGCATTCTCTTAACCCTCTCAAACAATTTTGCTGAAAACCAAATAAAAGGAAAGTTACAAGGAAAAGATGATGAGAAATTTACAAAGAGAAGAAAATATAGTTGCTGTAACATGTGACTCTTGAGGAATGAAATTGGACAATTCATCTAGTTTACAATGAGTAGTTTTCCAGGCTTCAATCATGAGTCACCTGAGTAATTTTTTTCTTGGCTATTTAATTCCAATGTTTATTTCTTTTATTATTTCCCAAGTGAAAATAAAATAGCATGCAAAAGCCAAGGATTTTCTTCATATTATTCTTACTTTTTAAAGAAAAGGGGCAAGGGCTGGGAATGTGGCTTAGTGGTAAAGTACTTGCCTAGCATGCATGAAACCATGGGTTTGATTCCTCAATACACAGAAAAAGCTGGAAGTGGTATTATGGCTCAAGTATTAGAGTGCTAGCCTTGAGCAAAAAAAGCTCAAGAACAGCGCCTCGGCCATAAAGTTAAGTCCCAGGACTGGTAAAAAAATTAAATTAAATTAAATTAAAAAGTAAAAAAAAAAGAAAAGGGACAGAAAAAAATGTCTTGGTGGTATTTGCTCTGGGATCTAACTTACAATTTTAATTCCATAAGCTTGTTTTTCTCAAGAAATTGTTTTTAAACTTTGATTATATTCTTCACCCTTCTCTTAATGGATGATGACTTGTCCTTTGTGGAGTTAGGATGATTGGAAATTAAGTAACACAATCAAAATCAAACATTTAAAAAATGGATGAGTACTATAGTGTTGACTGAAGAAATTGTGTGGGCAGATTCTAAGAGTAGCTGGTAAGAGCCTGGTCTCTAAGCCCAGGAGTACCTTTTGGTTTGAGCATCACATAGCAATGCTAAAGCTGATATTAGTTTTGACCAAGTCATGCAGAGTTACTATCAGGAGGTGCCACCACCTGGGATGCATTGATTCATAGTGCGGGTGGGCAATAAAGTTTCTTACCTTTTTTGTTTTGTTTTGTTTTTTGCTTTGGCTCCTAAACTAATTTTCTAGCCGACTTTACATCAACATGTGCTGTACTTCCCTGTGAAAGTCAGGAGGGAAGAGTGTTTGTAAGCAGGGCCTTTCCAGCCCTGAACTATTTTCAGGGCTAGAAGAAAATTCATAGTGAACTTTTAGTCACATCTCTTATGGTTTCTGTTATCCTAGGAAGGATCAGCCTCTCATGCCTCCTGCTGTGATAATGTTAAGAGACCATACTAATAATACATTCCACCTTTCTTACAGCGATTTCAAAATACTTCCAGGGTGTTCAGTTGAACAGCTAGGAGTAGAAAGTTGAGTCTTTTTCAAATATCTGTACCAAAAGTAAAAGCTGAGTGCAAACTCTCTAGAGGACAACCCTGAGAACAAAGATAGGTGCACCCATCACTTGCTGGATGCTTTCAGTGAGCAGCTCCTGGGCTGGCTGTGAGAAAGAGCTCAGGCAGAGAGTAAGAGAAGGGGACACCTGAGCTGCCTCTCTGGCTTCTCTTCTGCCTCAGTGACCTCCTCAAGATCTGTGAACAATTCCTTTATCCTCTTTGTTTTTTTTATTTATTTCTATTGGGGTTTGAACTCAGAGCCTCATGTTTGCACTATACAGAGTGATCTGTACACCCAGTTCTTTTCTGCTTTTTGGTTATTCTTCAGAAAAGCTTGAAATAAGGATACTGGGTTTAACTGGCACCATCTTGGCCACGTGGTAGATGATAGGGAATTAGGTTTAACTGGCACCATTTTGTTTTCGTGGTGAAGGAAGGTGAAGTCCCACTCCCAGGTGATAGGCATGCCTGAATACCTGCTGGGGCAGGGACTTGGACCATAGGTTACTAGGCCTGCCAATCCTGTGCCATGAACTTGCAAGACTCCTAGCTCCCTGTGATCCTGCCCTTGACCAGGACACTGTTTAGGCCCTGAACAACTCATGCCCCATTTTGTGCCATGCCTCATGTCTGCTGACTCTACCCAGGTCACCATGGAATCCCACTTCAGCTCTCCGTTGGAGTTGATCTGGTTTGTTGGGATTGTTTTTCTGCTCTTTCTTTCCGTGTCTACTCTCATGACTCAGCTTCCTAACAGTGTTAAGTGTATTAGAGGCTGCAGGTTTTCTGGGGACATTTATCCTCCTATAGTCACTGGCTTTAAAGACCTCTCAAAATATGGCTTCTCTGTTTCTCGAGATTGAATTCCCAGCCTTAGATTGTGATCCTCCTACCTATATCTTCCTAATAGTTAAGATTACAGGTGTTTACCATCATTACTCAGCTTTTTTTGTTGAGATGGAGTCTCAGTAACTTCTGCTCAGGCTAGCTTTAAACCACAAACCTCCAAATTGCAGCCTCTTGAAGTGTCTGGGATTATAGGCCTGAGTTATCAAATCTAGCTGATGGCTTCCTTTTAAAAAAAAATTATGGTCAAGATGATATACAGAGGGGTTACAGTTAGCTACATACTTAAAATAGTGAGTACATTTCTTGACAAACTTGTTATCCTCTCCCTCATTTTTCTCACACTTGCCTTCCTTTCTTGAAGTACTTCTCTAACCCTGGCATGCTAGAAAACTTGGGCCTTAATTTTCTGGGATCCAGAGGATAGCAACCCATTCCATTGTCCACAATGGCCTAGGCATGGGTTGACTGGCTCCTTCCACATTTTATCCAAAGAAGGGAAGGGCAGTTGGAAACTGAGATGTTGATAGAGAGCTACACTCAAGGTCCGTAATGAATGGATGAATGGATGAAGGGCCTAGGGCATAAGCGGTCAGTTCCCAGTTCTTACATTTGATGTTTTTTTCTAAATCACTGTTGTTGTGCCACTTGGAGGAATGATCTTAAGTTCTTCGGACTTTTCAGTTCTTTTTATCAGGCCCCAAAGCGCACTTTCTCTGTATCCCTTTTCTCAGGTCTGCCTTGTATTCATTGCCCCTCTGTTAGCATATTTCACTATGGCTCCCCTATGTCATTTTAAAAGGACAATTCCTCAGTGTACAAAGCAGGTCTTTCCTGCTCCTTAAAAGATGTTAGGCCCCAGGCACTAAATGCCACAGATGAGTCCCTTCTTGAGTATAACCTATTCCGAGATACCCCTTCTCACTTTCAGACATACCTAGGACAAGAACTAAGAAGTAACCCACTGGAGAACCACTGCTGGAAGCTGAGCAGCACATCTTCCTCACCATATCCCTCCTTGCCTTTAAAATTCCACCCAGTTTTCAGCAGAAAGGAATCCCTGATGGATTTACTTCTTTAATGTTTACTCAGCAGCTATTTACCTAGACATCTGTTAATAGTCCCAGACACTGTTTGAAGAGCTGCAGGGTCCATACATATACTACTTACCATTCATCTGTACCTTCCTGACTGGTCCCACCTTAATCTCTTCATTTTCATGTTGCTTAAAATATGTTTCTGTCATGAATATGCCCACCCTCACCCCTTCTCCCACTGAGTTGTTTTAAAGCAAATCCCAGCATCATACAATATCTATAAATATTCCAGAACGGACCTCTAAAAATCTCTTTCAAAAAATACAATATTATTACTGTTCCACAAAAATCAATAATCCTGAGATTGTAGTGTTCCATTTTCAAACTGTGGAGATATTTTCCAATCAATCTAAAAAGAAAGTAAGAAATTATATCCTAACTAAAATAGTGGCAGGGAGGTAGGAAAAAAAATTAAGTAATGAGAAAATGATGCCAGAGAATAGAAACACAATAGCTCCGGTCTTTGCTCTTTATCAAGACCTGGCCAACCCCAGGGGTCTATTTCTTGGTACCTCATGCTCGCCTCGCCCTCTGGTGATACGTGCACATTGCCATAGCACTCATTACCTCTTCTGTAATGCTCCTTTCATAGCATGATAGAGCCCTCTACCGTGTTGTTAGTCGTTTAAAATTTGGCCACATGACAAAAATGTGTGTAACATGGGGTTTTTAAGTGTTGATTGAGCACATAATTTAAAAGTCAGAATATTAAATAAACATCTCTGCCCTTTCTTCCAGCAGGCAGCCCAGAGAACAGCTCTCCACGCTCTATCTGACAGGTACATTTTGTCATTTTTATGAACTATAAATTGCTTTATGAAACATTGAGCCCTATTTATTGTGGTATATAATTCATAATCAGATTTTGTCCCTAAAGAATCTGTGAACCGGGATGTTAAACATTTTGCATGCTTGGATTTGTCATGCATGTGTGGAGTTTATTACTGCAAAAATTGCCTTGTTGTATTTCACATAAACTATGAAGAATCCCTCATTGTGCAATGAAACAAGAGACAAGAAACTTAAGGGAAAAGGTTTGAATGCCCCAGTAAATTCTGAACTTTGGAATTGGTAGAGACCCAAGCTCATTTTCAGCAGTAAATACTCCATGTATTTTAAGATGTTTTCTTCAATCTTTCCATAGCCTTTCACCAAGAGTGATCCATCTGTTGATGGGATTCTCTCATGCAGGACTATATGCAATGTAACCCACTAACTCATAGTCCAATACACCTGACTTCTTCTTCCCTGGTTTAGTTTGTTCCGTTGGTGTTATCAAATGATATATGTAAACCTAATCAAAAACCAAATGATAATTCATATCCCACTTTGCCATAGTACTCTTCAGGTCATAACTGGAAAATGGAAAGGAAATTTAGACTTCAGCCTGACTTAACCTGGGCACCTCTACCCAGAGTATTGAGGGTGGGATGGTGTGATTTTTGTTCTTTTCTATGTTCTGTGTTCACTAACATAGAATATATATATATATATTTCTATAAAACCATAGGATTTTTCCCCATGTAGTTTTATACCTTTGGGAGTCAGCTGGCCTAGGAGAGGTTCATTGATGCCCCCCCCCCATATGACAAAAACTGCAAACAACCAGGTCAGGGAGAGGGTAGCAAAATTCTTTATGAGCTAAACCAGTGTCAAGAACATGTGTTTGCAAAGGACCTTATCCTTCTTACATTTTTATTCCTTACAATGTGCCTCACAAATGCCTTCTCTTCTGGGCATTGTATTCAATGCAGGTAGGGAGTGGGGGGGGGAGGGGAAGAGGGCTATTTGAGCACAAGGCTCCCTTATAAAGGTGAGTCTTTGGTATGGACTCTGCACTGCAAAAGCCAGTAATGTGGAAAATATGCAATGTGCTGTTGAGAAGAAGTAAGGCTATGTGTGCAGCATATGAAGTACCTTGAATACGATTAACTTCCCTTCATAAGTAGTAAATAGTAGATAACTCTGATCAGAAAGGGGATTCGCATGATTTATCAAGCTGAGCGATTGTGAATTTGCAGAGAAGCTGGAGGTCAATCTAGAAATCTAGGGCCAGAGGAGCACAAGGAAATTGCCAGAACTAAGAAGTTAATCATACCGTGGGACTACTTCCATCTGTCTCAGGGCGACAGAGCTGCTGCACAGGAGCAGGCATGGTTTATAGCAGCAGATCAGGAATTAATATTTTCTGCAAAACCTCAAGCATCATTTGCAGTAACTTGGGTTTTATAAAAATGGAGCGTAATTTCATATGAATAAATCACATTCAGCTAGAAATATGAGAGGCAAGGAAAAAAAACTGCACTCGACTTTAAAAAAAAAAAGCAACAAGCAAGAAAACCAACATGAAGGCAGTTGTTGAAGCGATGGCACTTGGAGAGCACAAATAGCCATGTAGTTAAATTGTGCATGTAATCATCTTCTGAAATGTCAGCTTGCAGCTCCAGCCATGGCGACATTTTTGTAGCCCTGGAGATGCATCACCAGACTGTAACCTGTCTGCCCATCTGGCAGTAGCTGAGGTCCAAGACCCATTTATATTTAGATCCAGACAACTGACATTGATTTATTCATTTATTCCACAAATATTTATTGAGCACCAGGTATTCTCTGTTGGGTGCTGCGGGCACAATGAGGGAGAAGTGATTGTGCTCACAGCTTCGCTGACCAGACGGAGATTACCTTTGTAAGGAGAGAGGTCTGTGTATCTGCTGCTTTTCTTTTTTCCTTCTCTCAAACAAATCTTACAAGTGCAATATACTTTTCTACTAGGGAGAATCGGATGAAATTAGGTAAATGAGAAATAACCTAAAATGAAAGGAGTTTCTCCTCCACCTAGGTAGAAGAATGTGAAATTATCTGTGTCCCAAAACAGAACCTAATTGGCCCACTGTAAAAGAGCAAGGCAAGGTGGGCACCTGACTGGCAGGATGATGGCTTTGTATTTAGCTCTTACCTTCCTAATCCCTAGTAAAGTGGATCAATTTCAACAGTTAAACAGGGGTGTGTTTGGGAGGGGAGGGCACCAGCTCAGGTGCCCTGGGTACCATTTTACTCAGTCCTTGGCAAAAAGGAAAGCCACAGTTGCCCCGTACTGCTAGCAGTTGATCTCTTCTTCAGACGTCAGGAAAAGGGGTAGGAGCACTTCAAAAATCGTCTTAAGTTCCCTAGTTTGACAGTTCCATATCAACCCTGCCCTTGAAGCCCACATTTTCTAGACTCTCCTAAGCAAGTAGCTCCTCATAGCAAAGTCTTTCTGGTATACCATGTGGATAATGTTTTTAAAGGGCTTTAGAGGTTAGAAGCACTGTCCCATTTATGCCATCTCATTTTATGATCCTCACCGAGAGAAAGATGTGACCCTTTTTACAGCTAAAACAAAAATCTGAACGTGAGACAAAGGGTCAACAAATGCATCAGTGGTACTCACTAGATTTTATGTTGAAGATGAATTATACAATTTGTGGGTGGGTACAGGAGGAAATAAAAACCTGGGGAGAGTAAGGGAAGGAATGACATTGTCGAAAAGAAAGGTACTCTTCACCTGACTTATGTAACTGTAATTCCTCCACACATTACCTTTATAATAACAATAAAATATTTAAAAATACTGCACCCCTCCACACAGGTGATGTGACTCACATGTGTTGGCCAGGCTGTGACTATACCCCAGGTCTTCAGTCAATACAATTCTCTTACCCTCCTCCATGCAGTAACAAAGCAGATCTGAATGCAGTCACAGACAGGTGTTTGGACTCCTTTTGCTACATTGTTTCCATACATTGTTCTGTCTCAGTTATTCTCTCCCTAAGCACTTTGTACAGGGTCTAGCAGTAAAGGAACTAAAATAAGTCATTTTGTAAATGAATGAAAGCAAGGAACAAATGAAAGATCTGAGTCATTGCTTTGTGGTTACAAAAAGACAACTTTGGACTTAAGGTTACTTTACAGCTTGAGGGGGTAGTTATGGATGTGGGAGGGAAGGGATGGTAGGGGAAAAACAAAGGAGGAGGCAACAATGCTCAATAGGAAATGTGCTCATTACCTTGCTGACATAACTGAAACCCCTCTGTACCTCTGTACAGTATTTTTACAACAAAAATTGTACAAAAAATAAATTTCTGGAACTGGTCATCAGCATTACAACAAGTTGCTTCAGGGGAGAGAGGTTAATGAACAAAGGCTCATCACAAAGGGATGCAGGCAGATTCCATGCCTGCTTATAAAGATGTTTTAGAATGGGGAACACTACCAGCTGTCATAGAGGTCATATGGAAATTTAGAAGTTTACAAAGATAAAATTTAGAAAGATTAGAAACAGCTGAACAGTTAAAAATATATCAATCCAAGAGTAAACAGGGAAGTCTCAGAAATTTCGGAAGATCAAAACCAACCAGTACATAGAATATAATAAGTTAGAAATTAGTAACAAAAAGAGGACTATACCAGATGACTTCAGAATCCTTCCTCTCACAGCCCCTCTTCATCTCTGCCCTTCTATATAGTCTCTATCAGGTATTACTGCTTCTTTTTTCCCCTCCATAATTTATTCAATAAATATTTGTAGAACTGAGCCCATACACAGGTAAAGCATTGTGCTGGTCTCATAACCCATGGATTCTACCCCCAAGCAGTTTATATGTGGTAGAGAAAATGTACACATGGGGATAAATTAAGTCTATATTAGGATATTGCTATATTATACAAATTGATGGAGTTTCTATTAGAACAGTTGTATGTCACACAGTACACTGTTTCCTGTGTGATACTTCTATCCTCATAACAACCGTCTTAGCAAGGAAGAAAGGATCCAGTATTAGAACTTTTACTTCCATTTATTTCCATATTCTAAACTGTTTCCCCCAAATCCTAGTGAGTCCTTTTTTTCTAAACTCAAGTAATTTGCCCCTCATCTCACAGCCTTAAATTCCCAGAATGAATCAGACTTTAGAGCTGATGCCCATCCCAGCTTCAGTGAGATGCACTCTTCTGAATTCATTAAGTTATAGGGAAATAAGGTTGACAGACAGTTAGCTAAGTAGAAGAACACAGAGGAAAGGATTCAAAAGGAAAATTGAAGCACCAAATGGAAGGTGGTTGTATTGGTGACCGAGGAATAAAGGGGCAGAAGATAAAGGAGGAATGGCAGGAGTAGAATCGGGCTACAGGGCATACAGGGAATATAAACCCAGCCTTCTCTGGGGGCAGGATATTAGAAGGAGAGTGGCTGGAGGTAGCCACCAAATAGGGCAAGGGGACAAGAGCAGGTTGTGCCTTCACTATGCAGAGCTTCCTTCAAAAATGGAAGAAATCTTATCTCAAACAACCCCCTGACCCAGCTTCTAGTTTACCAGCCCCTCGTACAATTGTTGCTTTTGTACTCTGAGAACTTAATAGATTTATACTCCTCCTCAGAAACTACTAGAGAGTGGAAACCACATCTTGAAGAATGGGGCATACTTTATACAAAACCACTACATAATCATGACTTATAGTATGCCTTTTAAAGTTTTATTTTGTGTGTTTGTTTTGCAGTACTGGGATTTGAACTCTGGGTCTAATGTTTTCTTGGCAGGTGCTCTACCGCTTGAGCTATACCCTCAGTCCTAATTGTTTCATTTTAAATGAGGGAAAAAAAATAAGTCATTTGTCTTTCCCCTAAGCAACACTCATACAAAACATCTAATACTATTTGACCACTGTTTTCTTATAGACAGAATGCCAAGTTTAAACTCCTTCCACAGGAGGGGAAAAAAAGTCCTTTGTATAGGATTTTTTC